CTAGTACTGGCAATGGGGCGACTGGTTCGTCTGAGGGCACAGCGATAGCATTGTCAAAACATGTGCTTTCACACTATGCCACATGCAACATGCAGCATGCACCATGCACCATGCACCATGGCACCCAAACTTAAACAAACATGTGGAAAAGCGATGAAAAGCTTTGCATTTGGAAAAACAAACCCCACAAAAATGTCAAAGTTCTGCTGCGAATCGGATTTTAAATTCAAGAGAAAAGAGGAAAATATACAGGAAAAAGGCCTTTCCTTTTGATAGTTGATCCAGTGAATCATTATGGGTTTCGTAAAGCTGTGAAATGAATGAATGAATAAAGAATGACTCTTAGTAACTGACAAGTGAATGAATAATTATATTCTCACATGAAATTAACCAACCAAAATGAAGTAGAAGAATAAATGTTACGATTCTTGTCGCCTGGGCATGGCCCTGGTCCTGGGACTCTGCCACACTGTGTGCTCGCTGCTCTCAGCTGCTGCTGCATTTTGGCTCTCATTTTCCACTAACAGGAAAATTAAGTGCTTGTCACATTTGCGGTTGCGGACAACGTTTAATTTTCTGTCTATTTTTATGCACCTCGTGGCACCTTTCTGACCCACCTCCCCTCTTCGTCTCTATCACTCTCTCTCTCTCTCTCTCTCTCTCCCTCTCTCTGCTGCTGCTACAACACATGAAAAATAATTAAATCATTTATCCAAAAAAGAAAGAGCAAAAGAAGCGACAGAAACGAGAGAAGGCACAGGGGAAAATAGAAATGAAAACGGAAAAGCGGAATATACATAAAATGTGTAATAAAGTGTAATAAAAAAGAATTGTAAGCGGAAGCAGCAACAGCAACAGCAACAGCGGCAGCGACGCATTCAACTGGAACGCGACTGCTGAACGGAAGAAGGTGGCGGCGACTCCCCTTTAGCCCTCATGTACCCGTACCCGACTGCCATCGTTCTTTCTGGGGGAGGCGGAGGCTCCAACCAGAGCTGAAGGCAGGAACAGGAATAATCATCATCGCAAGGAAACCAGAAAAAAAGAAAGACTAATCCTCACTCTCTCACTGCAAGTCGAAGTTTTAGATACACTTAAAGATCCATTAACATCCGCCATACGATTTATATATATTCATTAATTTTCATACTCTCTTACCACGAAAAGGTTCTTCTTTCGAACAAGTTGCTAACCAAAACAATGAGGGAGCAAACCTATCATAAATCCAAGCCAAAACTTCACAAATCATTCTTACTTTCTTCAACCGTTCATTCAGTCATTCATTTATATAATATTTATTAATTTATTTGAGTATGGAGTCCCCCACACTGTCAAGGGCATAAATCTTCTATGAAAAATTTGCAAAAATGCATTCGAAGCGATTTATGAAGCGTTCATATCAACTGATGCCAAATGATATGATAAAAGAAATGATACAATAGTTTCCAAGAACATATTATTAAGAGCAAAAGCGTTTTCTCTGATTTCTGGCCACTTTTTTATTCTGTAGAATCATTCAAGATACATTTTATGAGTAGCTATAAGGCGTCATAGAATGGGATGAATGATTTTGCTAATGGTTTGGATCCCTCGAAAGGGAATATGAATATCTTTTGAAAGATATTTGATTTTGATTTTTATTTGAAGCCAAGCGAATTTAAACTTAAATTGAATGAATTTCGAAACGAAATTGTGTTCATATACGTTTTATATATTTATATTTTCTATACCCATTACGTTCCCCATGCAGTGATCCCAAAGACTTCCTCCTTGCCGCAATACTCTCTTTAGGAAAGGGTATACCTGGCCATGGAACGTAATGGAAATTGCGACTGGAATCGTTATATCCAAGGGGTAATGGGGGGAACTCTGGAGTGGAGTGGTGGCAACAAACAAGAACAATAAAAAATCGCATTGTAATAGTGGCAGGTGGGTGGGCTGGGAGAGGAGGAGTTGGCGGTGGGTGAGTACAGTGCACCTGTGTGTAGGGCAGGTGGAATCCAGAGAGGCAAAGGCCCCTCGATGATGCGGCAAGCGGCAGGGAAGCGATTAGACAGCGGCCAAAAACTGTTTACTGTTTCCGCTTGCCCCTCACAAAACAACAGCCGTGTGGCAGTGGCAGCAACAGCAATAACCACAAAAGCGTAACATGCGCACTGCCACAATCAGAGTCACTGTCTGTCTCCCCGTCCCCCCACACACACTCTCTCCCCTTCTCTCGCTCTCTCTCTCTCTCTCTCTCATTCTCTCCATTTCCCTCCTGCTACCTGGAGGCACCACCTGTTTCGTCGACACTTTGACGCTTCGCTTGTTTTAGGCGGTCGGTCCCGTGCTACGCGTTTGACTTCGACGATGACTCAGCCGCAGTCCCCAAACCCTTTGCCCCACACCACACATGTCCCTCATCTTGCTTCATGGTTAAATAACCCAGAGGCGTTGTGGTGGGAGGAGGACGGGAGGCGAGCAGAAGAGCAGACCTGTGAAACGCTACGTTGCACATGAGATTGAAGAGCGAGGGGATAGACAGGGAGGAGCTCGGCTCGGGGAGGAATCAGCCAAGTCTAACGGCAACACGAAAAGCCCGCCTTATTAGCCAAACACACACAAAAAACAAAAACCAAAAACCAAAACAAAAAACGTGCCCAACAAGTGAATAAATGAATGAATTCTTTGAATACTCTCCAGTATCCCGGCTGCATGCGCCTTCAATCGATATTCATTTTTCCTCTGGGTTTTTTTTTTCACTCGAATCTTTCTTTGCCGTTTCTGGGAACAACTCATCTGTGGGCGATCTCCATTTTCGCGTAGAATTAAGCGGAAAATGAAGGAAAATTCCAATGCAAATACAGAATTTTCGAGATCCCAAGCACGTACCACCGCATTCATACTTTCCTCAAGGGATATTCATTCGAGAGGGGATATTCATCCCCTTCATTCATTGCTCTGTTGACCATTTGAATGCCGAGTGCCCAAATGCCCAACTGCCGGACAGCCGCCTGCAAATAGAATTTCGTGATGTATTCCTTTTATTTTTCGACATTTGTCGGATTTCATTTCACGTGGGTGTGGTTGTGGGTGTGGGTGTGGGCCGCGTGGTGTGTGGTGCGGGTGCCCCTCCAGCCATTCAATTATCGTGTGCCCCATCACCAATCCATCCCATCCATTTGCGTGCGCCCCTCGTGCCACCGTTTGCAACACTTTCTAATGCCTTTAATGACTTTTGAAGTTCAAATTTTGGTGTGGATTTTGTGGCACTTCGGATGTCAACAATTTTCGAGGGTTGCCGCTTGGTTAAACGTAATTATTTTCTGCTTTTATGCGGGAATGGAATCTGTTTTACTGTTTAGTGGGACTCTGAATTACTGATGTTTCACTCTTCTCCAACGGAAGTTATCGTTTGATCGGAGAGCTACTGGCAGCTGAACTGATAGTGATGTATAGTAGATGTGTCTGCGAGTGACATCATCCATAGAACACACATACAGCATTGATGATCATGGATCCCATCATCATAGAACCCATCCGACGATGGTCATGTGATCGTTTTGTTGTTTTCGCAAATGCTCAAAAAATGTCAGGGCTGATAAGCCAATGCGCAAAACGGGGTTGAGTGGGTTCAATCATCATCAACAGAATTCGGCAACTCTTATTTTGATTGGGAATATGATTTGATGTGATTCGCATCTGGATTCTGAATGGAATTATTTCAATGTTCAAGGAAATGTGAAATTAAATTTAACAAAATATTGATCACAGATTATTGGGCCGTTGCGTGGATTCTTAGAGATTATTTTTGTAGGAAATTGCGGTGTGACCTTCTGTGGCTGTGGACTGTGGCTGCTGTAGGAAATATTGTGTCAGATCCATGTGGATAATTCTGGATTCTGGATATTGAGTTTTCTATTCAAAGTCTCGCAGTTTGTGAATTCAACGAATTTTCGATGCAAAAAGCAAACGATTAAGCAACAAGTTATTTTTATGCATGATTTATTCTTAATTAATTATTTTAATTTAAACACCCCTTAGATATGTACCTCTGCAAATGATCGAACTTTTCCAATAGTCACGATCTGCCAAGAATCAGGCTATCAATAGTAAGACTCAAACCCAAGATCCAATTCCCGTAGATCCCAGCAAAAACCTCGCATTTTCCCACACAATTAGGCCATATCCACCCATGCAGCAGCCACAGTCACAGCCGTCAGAAGGTCAACATCGGGAAAGCAGCGGGAAAACCATCGTTGCGGATAAGCCCACCATCAGCCCTCCAAATGATATGGAATACGAGGCGGCACGGCCACAGCGGCACACGCAAAACCCAGAAAATGAAGAAAAAAAAAACATTTAATTTAAGACTCGCCCAAAACCCGACTTCGGCTTCGGATTCGCATTCGAAACGTAAAGAAATTTCGCCAGCCTTTGGATTCAATTGAATTTGCATTAAAAACATGTTTCCTCCAGCAAAAAACAAACCAAGAAAAAGAGAAGAGAATTATAAAACACGCATAATGACAGTGAAATAAAATTAAAATATAAAACAAGGGAGAAAGATACAGCATCTAGTGAGTATCGACTCGGGAAATACCCTATGAATTCTATTATCTTAGATGGGACATTTTGTGAGATGAACCATTTGATTATCTGGGAAAAAGAAAAGGGGTAGAGCAAAGACATTGCAGCGAGGGACTTCCTTAAATATGGATATATTAAATATAGAATATTTATTAAAAGTTGTTCCGTTTATTTTGTGGAAATTGTGTGGAATATTTTCTGCATGATCCAACGACACTCAAGCAGTGACACGCAGCTTCTGTTAGAATATCGTTATAGGGTATAATGGTGCGTACGAAGCCACTTACTGTTGCTGTGTTTTTATATCCCGCGCGCGAAACGAGAAAGATCTCCCTCCAGTGCGCGTGCTTATGCTTTTTTGTCGCTCTTCTGTTTTCCTCTCTCCCCGCCGTTTCGTTGTTGTTGTTATCTTTCACTCTTTTGTCGTTTGTTTTTGTTGTGTTTGGTTTTAGTGGGTTAATACCAAATTATTGTAAAAATAAATTAGCATATAAATAAAACAAAAATTTTGATATTGGGTTCGATTTTTGTTCTCTTTGTTCTCGCTCTAAAAAACACACACTACTCTTTTGTTGTTTCTTTTGTTGTTGTTGTTTTTTATTGGAACTATCTGGTTTTATCTGGATTGAAAATCCGTATTTGAATATTGATTTAAAATATGTTTAATTATTTCAGTGGGGCTCCTCTTCTGGGGGCTGCCTTTGCTTTCATTTTATGGCCGATGCTGCGGCGGCGGCTTTGGTTGCCTTTGTGGCTGTCATTATGACACGCACTGTCTCAGGCAGCAGACAATAACTGTAACACTGTAACAGGTGCCTCTCCCGCTGCACTCCACTCACATGGCGCACGCACACTGTCGCACAAAAGTACACTCACTCCTCGATGAAGGGGTATTCACATGGTACTCACACGGTATTCATTCACAAAGAAATAAACACACACTCACAAAAAAAATGCGAAATTAAATAGATTCGTGTTGAGAGACGGTTGCACGGTGCACAGTGGGACAATAATAACGATTAACAAATAACTGTGGGAGAAAAAAAGTAAGAAAAATAAACAAAAATTGTATTAGAATTATTTCTCATTAGAAGCACTTCAGCGAACGTTTAACGTTTCTTAATTCAAGAAAAAAAAAACCTAATTTATGCATGTATATTTAGTTATGTGGGTTTTGTTATAATTTATTGTTTAAGATTATATTCGTATATTTATTTATGCTTTATCGGTCCTAAGAGCCACAGCAGCCACAGCAATATTTCACAACATCCCGTACATCCCATACATACAACGTATGTACATACATATATCAGTATATATTTGATGCTTTTTCTTGTTGTTTCCCTTCACACAGATATCGGGAGTAGAGACTCTACTTCTTCTATTTTGTTTTAGCTTCTCTCTTTTGAGTCTACTTATTCTTTGGTCACAATTTTTTGAATACGGGAATCGGGTCAAACATGCATTGTTCTGTTTCTCTGCACAAAACCGTATCGTATCGTATCGAACGAAATCCAAATCCACGACAAAAGAGAAATGCACACGAAAAAGCGTTTTATTTGAAACGAAGAAATTTACTCGGAATCTGAATCGTTTTTTGTCTTTTTGGCGCGCCGCACGAACTCGAACTCCTCTCCGCCGCAAAAGAAGAGATCATGAATTATTGAAGAATGGATGATATTAATGTTCTATTTGAAAAATGCACGTTCTGACCGATTGCACATGTCTCTCTCTGTCCGTCTCTCTTTTCTTGCTCCGAAAAAGAAACAGAAACAGAAACAGAAATAGAAATGGATCGTGGACTGTGGATCTCATCCTGCTCTCCTCTTTCTACGGTAAGCACTTGTTGTTGCTCTTGTGGTTGTTATTGTTTTGCGGTTTCTGGCTGCGGCTGCTCTCCTCCACCACTCTCGTGCCGAAGAGGGGCCCCCCCACCGATTGCACGCCTGCGCACGCACCGTTACCGTTAAACGTTCACAGTTGTTGTTTATGGTTGTTGATTAGCAACACAAATTCGACAATACATGCAATTGCTGTTGTTTCATTTTTCGCGGCCCGAGAAAGATTGAGGCGGGCAAGGCCGTGCGTTTCCCAAACGATCGGTCATACGATCGCCCCGACGTCACAAAGTCAGTAAATGTTGCGCATGCAAGAAAAATGTTGCCAACCGTCCGTACTCATGTTGCACTGGTAAACCTGTTGCAGTACCAGCGATACCCTCTTTTCCAAACCATATGAAAAAACTCAAATTGCTTCTCAATAACTAAGATTTGCCAACAAATTTACTAATTTCATGAGCGTATGGGGACCAATTGACAAACATCTTAACAATTTGTATAAACAAATTCATCATCTCTCTTGGAAGGGTATTCTAAATGTTGCTCATATTCGCTGATCTATTCGATGTTGCTGAATTACACACAGCGCAAGGGGTGGGAGCACAGCGAGATGGTGCTTGCATGTTGCTGGTATGTTGCCAAGCGCCACCTTGTTGTCCGAATACACCACTGATCGCACAAAGAGTGTTGCGCAGCATTTCAGGCCCGTTAAGTAGCACTTGAACGCATGGCATATCTAAAATAGGTAAGGTCGGTTCCTCTATGCTCGAGTCTGGGTGCACTGAGAAGAATTGAAACAAAATTGATAAATAAAAAGACTGGAAAACTCATCAAGTTTTAGATGATATTGAGTTTTCTTTGTGTGAAGACAAATGGAACGAAAAACTAAATCCGAAAACTGGACACTTGCCGAGTTCTCTTCGGAACTGCCCGTGCGACTTCGGAATGAATGGGAGGTGCGGATGATTAATGACCGACGACCCTATGAGAAATGCATTTTCGACTGCTTTGTCTTTGTCTAACTTTTTGTTTAGGGAATTTACATAGAGACACGAACACGAGCACGATTTCCATGGTTTATCTTTGGTATTTGGGTAATTCTCTTGGTAAATTTCCATTGACATTCGGTTTTATTTTAAAGAAAATTTCTATTTTCAATTTGGTGTGTGTGGTTTTTGTGTCTGAGGTCAGGGGACGGACCGACCGCCTGGTGGGAATATTTCACTCTTGGGTGACAAGTCTACGATACGACCCCCCGATATCCAGCAAGCAAAAACAGAAAACAGAAAACAGAACAGAGAGGAATATCCGAAATCCATTATATATGTTTCAGTTCTGCTCTGTCCTCTTGTGGCAAATTATATTTCACGCTACTTTTAATTAGCCGCCCCACTCGAGCCGCCCATCGTAGCGCGCTGTTTGGGCCCACATAATGACCAATTAGGCCGCCACTTGGCCGGAACGGCACCCAAATGTGGATTGAGGATGGGATGCGCTCATGGGGCGTGCGGCCCGGCTCGGCTCGGCTCGGCTCGGTTCATCTTTCGCGCGCTCATCTGGCCCTCTGTTGACTTTTGAGTGGTCAAGTGCGTGTCTCTGGAACTGGAATGGTACTGGGGGACATGGTGCTGCTGCTGCTGCTGCTGCTGCTGCTGGCCTTTCCCTTTCCCCCAACAAACACACAAAAACTCCAAACAAATTAAAAATACAATCCAAGAAGAGCCAAAAACAAAAAAATCAACCAACAGTTTTTGGTACTTTTCCTTCTTTTTCGGCATCTTCATTGGCCATCGGCTTGGAGTTGGACTTCTTGCTGCTGTTGCTTTTGTGTGTTGTTGATTTTTTTGTTGTTGTTGTGCTTTAAGTGAAATCAATTAAAAAATTTCTTTGTCTCTCGAATGTTTGCCTTCTGCTTCTGGCCCTGCCTACGTCTCCCTGCCTCCTCCTTGCAGCCCCTTCGAGTGGCATTTGGAATTTTCAATGGAAATTAATTTCTTTTTACATTTCTTTACTGTCTTCTGCTGTTCCTTCTCCGCCCCTACACCACTTCCCCTCCCACATCGTCTTCTACTCTTCATCTTGCTAATCATTTTCACTTTTACTTCTCTCCAACTCTCCCTCTCTCTTAATGTTCTCGTTTTCACTTTCTGAACAAGTTTTTTCTTGGCCCGAATATTTATTGTGTGTACTTTACTGGAAAAAGTGAATCCAAAATCAATTAAAAGTAAGTTCGAGTACGAAAAGTCATACAAAATGATGTTGAACATGGAATGGGAGAATTTTTAAATACTAGTAAAGGTGAAGGGAGTCTGTTTTGGCCATAGGAAAACCCTTAAGACATCCCCTCCTGGGAGCACTCTTAAGAGTTCATGTTTCCCCGTTTACTTCAATTTGTGCTTAAACTCTACTGCTGCGATGGCATGTTCGCACATGTTCCTTTAATTGTTTTTAAACAATAGAAATGAACAACAAGAAAGTGATTCGCTTTGTTCTGAGAAAGAGAGAACGTGAAGGTGGTGGCTTGCTGAAGGTGAAGACGGGAGCTCCACAAAGGAGCAATCAATCGACACCCACAACAAAAAGAACATTTCACAATCTACAAGATGCGATGAGTCCTGTTCATTTGGACGGCAGGCTACACAAAAGAAAATATGGCAAAGAAAGATAATTGATCCATTCCAAGGATAATTAAATATTTATTGAGCTTATAGTCGACCAGACAAATGAAAATATGATTTATCAAGATGATACCAAGCCCTCCCAAGTACTACTCTTTTCGTCGAAACAGAGTTCCTTAATGGTTTCTTGGAAAGAATTTCAACGACATTTCCTTCGCACTTCCTTCGCTCTCATTTTTTCTCTTTGTGTAGACAGTAGGCGCCTGTCGCTGTCGCCTCCGATTTATATCTTTGGTGAGTCAAAACGCAAATTGACAACTTAATGCCATCAAAGTTCAAAGTGCGCGCACAATGGGAGCGGAGTGTGAGCCCCTGAACATCGCTCCCTTGAGAGCCACTCTGCTCTCTCTTTCTCTCTATCTCTGCTGTGAAGTTTGAAATGAATGTGGATGCTGATGCCGATGCCGATTTGCTATTCCGATTCCGATTCGATCCCATTCGACATTGACATTCAAATCGAAACATAAATAATAACATTGATAAACATATCAACACGCCAACGGTTAAGCCCCCCAAAATGCACATGAATAGCCCCCCGAGTTACAGAACGGGCAAACAAAAAATATTCGATATAGGGCGCCCCCAGCCTCTGTCATGAATCAAGTTTAAAGCAGAAGCCGACAAAAAAGGGCCAGGCCCAGGCCAGACATTTTTAGGATTCATTCGCTGCGAGCCTACAAAAGACAACATCAGCACGGAGCGTGGAGTGGTGAGTGGTGGTGATGCCAAAAGAGTTCGAGCAAAGCCGAAAATTCTAGACAGATGTTGGATGTGGCAGCTCTTCTGTGGGGGATCCGCATGGCATGGAAAAACATGAAAAGTGGACAACAATTTGCAAGTTTTCCCTAAAACCTTTCACCCTTTCACTCGCTTCCTGTGGCCTCCACTGCTGCTCCCCGGCGGCACCGTGGAAAAAGGTTACACAAATGGTCCAAAACGTTGATA